GGGGATTGCTTATTCACTTGTCATTGATAATTTGTAACTCTGTACTAACGATGGCGTCACTCACTGACGATGCCGGCAAAGCGCCTGAGAATGTATCAATTAAATGATCTGACACTGGAAATCATCATGAATAATATGACAGAGGATGCCAAAATGAAGTCAAACAAGCGCCACAACTAAAGGAGACTAAACAACCATCTTGGTCTTCATACATAAGACAGTTAATAAGTTATTTTATCTTCGCTTGGTTTCCTAACGTTGAGGCTTCATGCGGGAAATTATGCTATCGTTAAGAGGAGTTACACATCCAAAAGGCATAGATGGTTAAATATAAATCAGGCTTATTTAAGCCCCTAAAGATCAGGCAATTGCTATACTGCCTATCGTTTGATTTAGAGCGTCCACGATCTTGTCTAGCTAGCTTTCTATTAGTATGACCTACCGGCTTTATTAAAAATCACCTAAAGGAAATAAGCAATATCTTATCACAATACATTAAGCCTAATTAACGCGCTAGTTAGCCATTTTCTATGGGAATTTGAATTAACATAAAAGATTCGTCCGTGTGCAAAATAATTTTAAGAATAAACTGGCCTTTCGCCGGAGAATGAATGCTAAATTGATATCGAACTCATTATTGGCACTATTTAATAATTAATTGATCAATACAATATAAGTGAAAATCTTGCCTCTTCACTGGATTTCCTTTGATAAAGACTGAGGCTCCATCCGTGAATTTCTGGAAGCAGTGATAGTCGTTTAGTTTTAGTCAATTTTGTTGTGTAGGGACAATATGCCCCAATAAATGGATTTAATTAGCTAGATGGCACAAAATTTGGGTGCCACTACGATTGACTAACGCATAGTGCTGTCTGGAGGGTCATAGACCCGGTAGCTTGGAGTATTACCGACTGATGACTAAGACAATTTTTCGATTACAAAGGGAAAGGGTGATCTCATGAAGCTCGAATAAATAAATTAATGAAATTCACATAAAAATGAAAATATTTCCTCAAAATCGCTGTGGATGGCGATTTAGTATAAATCAAGCATAATCGGTTCGAGTTTATATTCAATGGAGAAATAGAAAATAAAATTATATACATATATAACGTAGCATGAATAATTAAATAATTAAATCTTCTATGTAATTAATTAATACCTACTACCTGCGAAGGGGCAGGGACATTAGACCCAGAATTCCAAACGAGGGGGCCAAATGTCGCCGGATGACTATGAAGTTGGGCATACGGCCCTCCATGGCCAACGGGAGGCTGACCAGTCATAATATTTGCCGAATAAACTGTTAATCCATTTGAACCAGGCTGAGGTAAAGCAAAGGCACCTGGTCCAAATCCGGCAGAACTGACTGGCACAGATGAGCCCGAATTATTCATGGCGCCGATAGGATGGGAAGTCGCAGAATGAGCTAACATTGAGGATAAAGGATGAGGAGCTGAAATAAACTGTGTATGAGGTGCAGGAACATTGAGAGGTGTTGCCAAGATACCGGGTTGATTGGGAACGTGTGTAAACTAAAAAGATCAAGAGTAGAAAAAAGATTAAGTTAGAACTTACAGTATAAGACAAGGGTACTAGAAGACGAGTAATTATCATCAATCATAATCATATTCAAATGCTCCTGGCGTGTGCCTTAAATTTTTCAAATGGTCCGTAGAGTAATTTTCAAGCAAATTGAGGTAAACTTGGTATGAAATGAAAGGGAACTTAAAGAGAAGTGGTCGTTATGATACATTTCAAGCCCTCAGTCCCCCAACCCCAACCGCATAGCAAAGGAAACTTTGGACATAGAGGCCTTGGAAGCAAATGTGAATTACAATCAACACAAGTTTTTATGATTTTATTTTTAAAAACATCTCATTAACCTAAGAAAATGGCCAATGCGGAACCTCAAACTTAGATAAATAACAGAAAACGGTTGAATTCTAAAGAGATTGTCCATCAAGATAAAATTAGCGTCATGGAAATAAGACTCTACCGACATTGAATCCAAGTACGAAGGATTCATAGGCAATATGAAGGGAATTTTTTTGATAAAGCTGTCTGACTAGCGAAAGTATGGCAATGGCGCTATAGGTAGTACGGTTTAAATGAACTAGCTAACTTGAAGTCACAGCTCGAAAATGCCGGAATAAAAGCTGCAAATAAGTATATCTAAATAAAGATGAAATAATGTAAATTAGGATAGTATGAGAGGAGTCCCATGACCGTCTGACATTTTGGCTGGATAAATCAGTGTCATAAACTGCTCGGATTGTCTATTCTCAGTGAGATTAATAAATACGAAACCTATGGAAGTGGATTAGATTCATGGTTAAATACTGGGACAACAGATGGCTAGAATTAAGGATGTAAAGGGACCGTACTCTTCGAAGGCTAACTAAACGTGGCGAAAGCTCGTCGAAAATTTTGAGAAGACTAGACCACATTCGCTTTCACATAATATGAATTCCAAAAATACTGAAGACACTATCTCCAATTTATCAGTTTTCTCATTTCAACCATAAT